AAACATTTTTTTACAATTATCCAGTATGACAAAAAAAAAAAAAAAAAAAAAACCTACTATTTGTAGGAGAAAAGGCTTTGTACATCAGTTGAAATAATATAAATTCTGACTTGTCTTTTGAGGAGTCACTGAATCTGAAGCTCACTGGTTTGTCCAGACGGCCTTACCAGTGAGTGAGCTCTGAGTATCTGCTTGTCTCGTGCATTTGGTGTTCTTGTGAGTTCTGGGCATCTGAACACAGGTCAGTAGCTTATGCAACAAGTACTTGGCCCACTACCTCCCCAGGCCCAACGTTACCTTTTCAGTTTTCTGAGATGGGTTTTTGATATGCTGAGATTCACCTTTGTTGTTGTATGCTATATTCCATGCTGGTATGGAATTAACTAAAAATAAATAATGATTATATAATGGAAATAATGTCTTCCCCCTACCCTACAGAATAAGTAAGAATGTTTGTCTTGGAGGATGTCTGGCAGCAAGTAAGCCTGTTATTAGGTGGTGCTAGTTTTTAGAAATTGCTATAGTCAAAGTACTATTTAAGGGCTCTCCAACTTTTGTTGACCTCCTGCATCTTACTCCAGAGAACAGCAATCTCTGAGGATTTTTTCTTTTTAAACTTTGGGAGTTTGCCTTTTCAAAGAATTCATTTGTTTTTCTATAGAACAGTAGGGCAAAACAGTCTCTAAAAGCCATCTGAACACGGAGGCATTTTGCTTTATCACAAAGCTGATTCTTTTTTAGATCCTGACATAAGTTGGTATTGTCCACTACTTTTTTTTTTTTTTTTTAAAGCATTTGTTCCCAGGAGATATCTCTGTCTGAAGTTACATCAATATTGTTTCTGGCCTGTTGCTGTTAAGATGGAAAAGGATGTCTAGAGAAGATGTGTTTATTTTACACATTGAAAATTCCCATCCATGGGCTCTGATTGCCCGCCTGCCTTGATTAAAAGAGTGTATGAGAGAGACAGAGGCAGAGAAGAATAGGGAGAAGATTTATGCTAAATTCTGTTAATCCTGGGGTAGAGAGCCAGAATTTCTAGAAAAACTGCTTCCTTCTTACCATGATTTTGTCAATTCTCTAACTTCACCAAGATTATTCTGATGCTAGTAGCCAAATGTATTCCAGGGTGATCAACTTTACAAAATCATGCCATTGGAAAGATGATAAGTCATATTAAACACTTATGAAGGTCCTTAAACATAAGCATCTATTTAGAATTATTTCTTCTTTAAAATGTGTCTGGCAGCCAGAGCTGGTGGCATATAACAGCAACAACAACAAAAAACTGAATTAGTATGAAGCTCTAAAATCCCATTTATTTTGCACAAAATGCTATTATATACAAATTTTAAGAACCACAGGGCTAGTGAGATAGATGGCTTATCACTTGCTGCAATAAGCCTTGCAACTTGAATTTGACCTCTATAATCTAAGGTAGAAGGAAAGAATTGATTCCACAATGTTCTCTGGCCTCTGCATTCTGTAACACATGAGCTTCCTCTTCAATACATCACGTGCACACACACACACACGCACACACACACACACACACACACACACACACACAGCATTAATTATAACATCACATGCACACATATGTACATGTGTATACACCAATAATTATAATAATGATAACAGCAACGACAATAATATATTTTTTTAAAGCAGTATTTTCCTAATAATTGGCCAATGTCCCAGAAAGGACTTTGAGCAGTCTGGATCATCTCTCCCTAGGGAGATGGAGTCACTACCAGCCAGATTACATGGACTGAAGAGAATTAGCATGAAACAGGAAGAGAAATTTTCTTACAGGAAGACATTGTGTGTAGACAGAAAATAGTTTTTTCTGTAGTGATTGAAAAGCTTGGGTTGAGTGTGGTAGCTTGTGTTTAAAGTCTTGGCACTTGCATTCTGAAGAAATAGAACTACCTTAAGTTTGAGGCCAATAGTTTTATATCATCAAAGGCTACATAGTAAGATCTTGCCTCAAACAAACAAACAAACAAACAAAATAGAAAATAAGAAAAGAAAAAGTTTAAGGATAAAGTCAGTAAAGGATTTAAAAAATGGAACCTAAGCTGTGTAGTGGTGGCACATGCCTTTAATCCCAGCACTCAGGAGGCATAGGTAGGTGGATCTCTGTGAGTTTGAGGCCAGCCAGGTCTACAGAGCCAGTTCCAGGATAGCCAGGGTTACACGGTAAGACCCTGTCTCAAAACAAAACAAGCACTTTAAAACTAATGGATGTTTATTGTTGTGCTAGTTATAGTAACCAAGATATGGAACCAGTCAATAGATGAAAAAATAAAGTGTGTGTATGTGTGTGTGTGTGTGTGTGTGTGTGTGTGTGTGTACATGTATGTATGCAGTTTTATTCAGCCATAAAGAAGAATAAAGTTATGTCATTTGCCGGAAATTGTATGGAACCGAAGATCATGTTAAGGGAAATATGCCACACTCACAGAAACAAATATCTCCAAGTTTTCTCTCATTTGTGAAATCTAGATTTAAATGTGATCTATGAAATGAAAATATAAGGGGAACTGTGAGGGAAGAGGAGGCGATTTAGAGGGAGAGGAGATAGGGGAACCAGGGAAGGTAATGGGAGGAAGAAACTGCATATCATAGTTTCTCTCCAGCAGAAGATGGACTTAATGGAGTACATACTCATGTGGCATGAAAGCAGAAGGGTGTACGCGAAGAAAGGAAGGGGCAAGTGGTGGGAGGGTGTATTTAGTGAAACTTAATTTTTCTCTTTTCAGTTTTGTGGTTCTTTGGGGATTTTTTGTTTTGTTTTGTTTTTGGTCGGTTCTGTTGAAAGTGCTCTACCATTGAGCTAGTAAACTCCTCAGCTAGTAAACCATAATGTTTCTCTTTGCAATTTATAACATTTTCTATGTAAATATGTTTTTACTCTGCAACTTTTGTTATTGATTTATTTAATGAACATTTTAGAACCTGCTGTGTGCTGTTACTACTTTTCCCACTAGCATTACAACAGTACATACAACAGTGTCTTTATGGAACCTACATTGTGGTAAGGACGGCACACAGTAAATAAAGTAAATTAATAAAATATTCAGAATGGGGTTTGGGAATACTTGCTTTGGAGAAGAGTAAGGAGGGGAGATAGGAAGATGAAGAAGGTCTCACTAAGAAGGTGATGTTGTCTGAACAAAGGCATGAAGGGCAGTAAAGAGGAAGCAAGCCATTGGTTATCTGAGAAGGAGAATCCCAAGTAGCAGGAAACAACTGCAGAGGCTAGTTCCTAAGCCTCGGAATACTATGGACACTCACAGGAGCTTCCTATCAAACAAGTAGGATGGTGGGAAAAGGTTGTATTTGTGTAGGTTCCCTTGGCCCATTGTAAGGGCTTTGGTAGATAATTTAAACTATCGGAAGAGAGAATCTCACTTCCTTTGAAAGGATCCTCCTCAATATTCTGCATTGTAGGGGATCAGGGTGAAAGTGAAGAGACCATTCAGGAGGTGGATGATAGTGCAATAATTCATACAGTAGAGAATGGTGGCATAGATCAGGCTTGTAATGGAGATAATGAAAAGGGATAAGATATGAGACAGATTTGCCGATAGATCTGATGAGAACTATTAAAGAAAGAGAAGTGTCAAATATGACTGTAAAGTTTTAGGCATGCATGCAGTCACTTAATGAACTAGAGACCAAGAGAAGATCAGGTAGGTTTCAACAACAAAGGCTGGGCGGTGGTGGTACACACCTTTAATCCTAGCACTCAAAAGGCAGAGGCAGGAGGATCTCTGCGAGTTTAAGGCCAGCCTGTTCTGCAGAATGAATTCCAGAACAGCCTCAAAAAGCTACAGAGAAAACCCTGTCTTGAAAAATAATACATCAAAGAAATGAAAAGTGGGACAGAAAATGGATGGAGCACTTCAGTATGAAGAAATTGAGAAGTAACCAGTAAAGAGTACCAAGAAAGAGCAACCAGAAAATAGAAGGGAAACAAGGAAAGCCTAACAGAAAGAAGAAACCAGTTGTCAGACGTTGCTGATGTAACAGTTAAGATAGAGGCTGAGATTTAATGATTTCATTTACCCAGTCTTTTCTTGAATTATATTGGTTGGTAATGTTATTTCTAGCATGGGTTCTTTTTTTAATTTAAACCTACATCATTAGATAAATCCACAAAAATCACTTATTGCTGATCGTATTTAGTTTGTTTGTTTATTTAATTTTGCAGTGTGGGAAATAGAACCCCTACTTCCTATATGTTAGGAAAGCACAATACCATCGACCTACACTCCAACCCCAGTGTCTCTTGTTAAATAATGACTTAGGAAATATTCTGTTATTCTTTTGTATCTTCTTTTCATACTATGGATTAAAGACTTGTTTTCAAGTCAATGAATATGCAAGAATATAAAAGATCTAGTTGTAGTGGGATATATGTATTTTCTTTGGGGTGTCTATTATGTGAAATGATAATACCCTACCAAATAAATTGTTGTATTCCCAATTTCGTGATTTTGAGATCTGTTAGATATGACTTTGTGCGCGCACGCACACACACACACACACACACACACACACACACACACACACACGATGGCTTATATTCACAGGTCAAAGGACAAATTTCAGGAGTTGGTTTTCTCCTTCTACCATGTGGGTCCCAGAAATCAAATTCAGGTCATCAGGCCTGGTAATTGATGCCTTTAGTTGAGCCATATTGGCAGCTCATGTTTGTTGTTGTTATTGTTTTCGTGTTGGGATTGTTGCGTGCTTGTATGTCTGTGTACCACATGTGCAGCTGGTGCCTTTGGAGGACAGAATTGAGTATCAGATCCCCTGCAACTGAAGTTACAGAAGGATGTGAGCTGCCATGTGGGTAGAAGAGCTAGAACTGTGGTCCTCTGAAGAACAGCCAGTGCTCTTAACCTTGAACCATCTCTCTAGGTTTTGAAAAATATAAAATAGACTTCATTTCAATACTGAAAATGTATATTGTTCTTCTTTATTAGAAATTCATTGAATTTGAAGACTCTCAAGAACAGGAAAAAAAGGATTTACAGACCCGAGTGGAATCTCTAGAATCTCAAACAAGACAACTTGAGCTTAAAGCAAAAAACTATGCTGACCAGAGTAAGTAAAATGCTTTTCTCCTCATAAGTATTCATTAAAGAGTGGACTCCTATTCAGTGAGTGACTCGCCCTGACATTTGACCAGGGCTTCAAATACGTGCTTGGAATTGTCATCACAGAATCAAGTGTGAGATCTGGGCGCTGGTATTAATTCATTTTTCTTCCCGTCTCACATGGCATCAGTATATGTAGAAATGGCTGAGTCAGAGATTCCTGCTAGACTTACTTCCTCAGTTGTGCTGTCTGCCTCTTTGCAGTTAGCATCCTTCTGTCTGTCATGCAGGCGCCATATTTGTTCTGCTGCTGATGAAGTATGCAAGTTCATTGTTTATGTATTGCTTTGAAGTTTACCAATATAAGAGAAACTAACCTCAAAGGAGGTATAAAAAGTGACTGAAATTCCTTTTGTTCCTTTTTGTTGAGTAAGTAACAGACATTTATTTTTCAGATTCTTTTTGTTTGTTTTGAGACAGAGTCGCTCTGTAGACCAGGCTGACCTCAAACTCACAGAGATCTGCCTGTTTCTGACTCCTGAGTGCTGGGATTAAAGGTGTGCGCCACCGCCACTGTCTCATTTTTTAAAAATATTTGAAATTTTTGTAAATTTATTTATTTATTTTTGTGTGTATGAGTGTTTGTCTGTTTGCACGCATGTTTGTCTGTTTGTCATGTTTGCATGCATATATGTGTACCATGTGCATGCCTGGTATCCTTGCAGGTCAGAAGAGGGCATCAGATCCCTTGGAATTGGAATTAGAGATGGTTGCATGCTAGGAACCCAACTCTGGCAAGAGCAGCAAGTGTTTTTAATTGTTGAGTCATCTCTTCTATCCCTCAGATTAATTTCATGCTATTTTTGACTATTTAAATTATTTCAATTTTCATGGATGAATTTGAAAAAGTGAAATATATAAAAAGAAGTGGTAAGAAACTTCCCTTTTGTCTTTGAAATTAAATTAATTTATTTGGGAGGCACAGAACATATGGCATGGTGTCCATGTGAATGTCAGAGGACAACTTGGTGAAATTATCTTTTTCTACCATGTGGGTCCTGGGGATCAAACTTGGATTATCAGGCTTGGTGGCAAGCACCAATGAACCATATTGCCAAAGCCCATATTTCATTTCATCTGTTTCACACATCACTCATTAAGACTTTATACCAACCCCTGCTGTTGTGCTTTGGTTTTCTGATATAGGGGGTCTCATTATGTATGTAGCCAGTCTTGTTGCAAACATCCTCCTAAATAGTGCTAGGTTATAGGTGCGTGCCTCCGTACCCAGCTGTGATACCTGCTATTAAAGAATTGCCAGTAGTTATGGATAATTTTCAAGTGAAGTGTTTGTGAAAATGGAACTAAGTGCATCCTCTAGAAGTCTAGAAGGGCCTAATTGAGCTAAATGCAAAAAGGAATTTGGAGCTTAAACACTAGAATCCAAAACTTCACAGGGCTGTATAGCAGATACTGTGGAGTTCCAGTAGAGATTTGGTTACAGAACTTAACTTGAGCAAACAATAAGCTCTATCCTATGACTTTTTAGGCTTGTTTTTAGGCTTGATGATACTTAAGAGTTGTGCAGCCTCCCTTGGTTAATTTTAAGAAGTCAGTGGTTTGTGGTTGTGCTGTAGACTCTGCTATAGATGTCTGAGCACTTAGAGAACTTGTGGTGGGCTCTCATACACACTGGAATCTTATTGTGAACCACACGTCTGGAGGAACAGTTTGTGGCTGTAGCATTTGGTATACTTTAAGGGTTGAACATTTTATACTCAAAGAAGAAAATGTGGCTGTTTTTTTTTTTGAGACAGTCTTACTTTGTAGTTCAGGTTTCTAGAATCCATGTAATCCTTGCAGCAGTCCTTTCAGCCTCCCAAATGTTGGGAATACAGGTGTGAACCACTGTGCTCAAGACAATTTGATTATAGAAGACAATATTTTAACCCTAAATTGATTATACCTTTATATCAGGAATTATATAGTATTCTAGAACTGTACAATAAAGACATAGCAGAACCAAGCAAAATTTCATTTATCTTAATGAATTTTTTCTTGATTTGTACAAAGTACCAAGTTTTCAGTAGAATTTTTTAATTGAAAAAGAATTGCTAGTTGCTGGATGTTGGTGGTGATGCCTTTAATCCCAGCACTTGGGAGACAGAGGCAGGCAGATCTCTGTAAGTTCGAGGCCAGCCTGTTCTATAGAGCTAGTTCCAGGATAGGCTCCAAAGCAATACAGAGAAACCCTGTCTCAAAAACCCAAAAAAGTAAAGAAAGAAAGAATTGCTTATCTAAAATCCTTTTAAACATCAAGTGATCTGTCTCTATTATAAGAAAGAAATTAGAGCAAAAACTGTTTTATACTTAAAATTGCATTAAATTAAAAACATTACTTTTATGTCAGTGTGTGAATTCCTTGATATATGTATATGCAATACCTTCATGCCTGGTGCCTGAGGGATGGTATCAGATTAACGGCCACCTTGTGGGTACTGGGAACCAATCTGGGTCCTCTGCAAGAGCAGCAAATGCTCTTAACCTCTGAACTGTCTTTCTAGCCTCTGAAATCAAAATTTTTATTTGATGATTTGTCTCACAATGAGAGGTGATACTGTGGCTTTTTCACAAAAAGATAGATGTAGTGTCTTCCCCCTCTCACTCTTTTAAGTAATTGGCGTTTTAAACAAAACCTCTGAATGTGAACAAAACATACTTTGCCTTTTGGTTTTTCAAGATTGGGTTTCTCTGTGTAATAGCTTAGGCTGTCCTGGAACTTGCTTTGTAGACCAGGCTGGCCTTGAGATCCGTCTGCCTATCTCTACCTTAAAACATACTTCATAAGTGTTCAATATAGAAGAATGCTTTGAGTATCTCAAATTTTGACCTTTCCTTTGTACTAGGTTTGTTTTCTAGCTTGAATCATACTCAGCATTTTGGAATTATCCATTCTCATTTCTTTCTTCAGAAGCACTCATTGTCATGTTTTAATTCTAAGATTTTTTAAAAAAATAAGTGTTTTAATAAAATTATACTTTATAGGAGGGAGGAGGAATTTCCTTACAAATATTTAAAATAGGTTTGAGCATAGTCTGGATTGAAAACTTGTTTTGTTTCTTGCTTTGAGACATGGTCTCTCTATTGTAGGCTTAGCTGGCCTTGAACTTGGGATCTACTCTCCTTCCATCCTCTCTCAAGTGCTGCTATTACAGGTATATGCCATTGCCACCATATTCAACAGTTTGAACATTAGCTTCACTTCCTGGATGCTGGAACTGTAGGTGTGTGACATTAACTACTGCTGACTGACTTTTTTTTTGGCATCTTTGTCTATTGCTGCCACCCTCTGGGTTATATAACAAAATAAACTGATGAAGACATAGAGAGCAAGCTAGTAAGCAGCATTCTTCCATGATCTCTGTTTGGAGGTCTCCCGATTTCCCTTTATGGTAATTGTAATTGGGCTGAGTAACTCAAATAAACCCTTTCTTTCCCAAGTTGCTTTTGTTATGGTGTTTCATCATAGCAATAAAAAGCAAACCAGTACCAGAATTAAGAGGTAGTGCTGTGACCGACTTGACTGTTGTTTTTGGTAAGATCATAAAGGAGTTTGGAACATTGGGCTAGAAAAACCATTGAGTGCTCAGAGCTTAATGAGCTGTTGTGGGAATTTGAAAGATAAGAATGTTTAGAGCAATGCAGACAGTAGATACTTAGTTTGTGATATTTCAAGGAAAGCTTGAGAGTACCATACATTTTCTATCAAGAGCTGCTTGTGTAATATATTTGAATTGAGAATCTGTGGTTTCCCTGGGTGGTGGCACATACCTTTAATCCCAGGACTTGGGAGGCAGAGGCAGGTGGATCTCTGTGATTTCGAAGTTAGCCTGGTTTACAGAGTGAGTTCCAGGACAGCCAGGGCCACCCAGAGAAACTCTGTCTTGAAAAACCAACCAACCAACCAACAAACAAAAAGAATCTGTGATTTCTGATTAGCTGGAGCTGAAGAGTCAGCAGTGAATAACAAGAGACTAGCACCATTGAAGGACACCTTTGCTTCATAGGCACGATGGAAATTGTCTGCAGTAGAAAACTGCTGTGACTAACGAGAAACCAGCATCATTGGGGAGAAATCTTCTGGGAAGTATTTCTTCATGATGAGCACACAGATTCTGGGATCCATAGGGGCAAGGCTGCATGCCAAATTAGCAGCTGATCTAGTTAATGTGTAAGAATCTCCCATATGGTACTGATTTTGAAGGTATGAAGAGATGGATCATGGAGAGAAGCTGAGGCTTGACCCCTGTGTGGTATTGTTGGAGTCCCTGAAGAGAGGCCACAAGAAGCACTTGGTGAAGTAAAGCCTCAGTTGCAGTGAAAACCTCAGGATTGAAGGGGTGGGTCATAGAGAGAGGCTGAGGCTTGGCACTATGTGGCAGAGTTGGAGTCCTTGAAGAGTCCAGGTGAGACCATTGGTGAAGGTGTACAGCTGTAGTGGGGACACCAGCATATTGTAGACGCCAGGACAGTGGACAGCCACTAAAGGACAGTGCTGGTGTTGGATGGAGCCAACTTGAGCCTTCCAGACAAGCCGTGTATGCTGAGGATAGCAAAGGCAGAGAAGTAGATCTTCCCAAACCTTTGGAGTCCAGAAGATTGTGAGTGAATCCCAGATGCCAGTCACTGAGTTACAGAATTTCATTTACACTACTAAATCTTGATTTTGCTTTTATTTGATTGTGATTGTTGCCTGATTCTTCCCTCTTGGAATAGGAAGTATGTAACTTATTTTTGATTTTACAAGGGTCCACAGTTGGGAGACTTTGAACTTAAGAGACATTGTATATTTTAGTTTGAACTTTTAAAAACTGGAACTTGGAAAATTATACTATGTTTTATATTTGTGATATTAATGTGAGATCTTGGTGATGTACAAGAAAGGAAAAGTTATGATTTAGTAGTGATATATTAATATATTCGACTATGGGTCGAATGTGCTGGCTA